TCCCTCTCTCTCCCTCTCTCCTTCTCCCTCCCTCCCCCTCTCTCTTTCCCTCTCTCTCTCCTTCCCTCTCTCTCCCTCTCCCTCCCTCTCCCTCTCTTTCCCTCTCTCTCCCTATCTCCTTCTCCCTCCCTCCCCCTCTCTCTTTCCCTCTCTCTCTCTCTCCCTCTCTCTCCTCTCTCCCTCCATCTCTCTCTCCCTCTCTTTCTCTCTCTCTCTCTCTCCCTCTCTCTCTTTCTCTCAGGAAGTGCCCCCGTATATCACACATCTGAGCCCCCTAGTGAACCCCCCTCATCACAGAACTCTGATACCTGCTCACAACCCCAGCTCCACAGGAGGCTGAGGCAGGAGAATCCCAAGTTCAAAGTCAGCCTGGGCAACTTGGCAAGACCCCATCTCAAAATAATTTTTTTTTAAAAAGCTTAGGCTTCAATCCCAAGTGCCAAATAAATAAATACATAAATAAATAACAACTCATGCAACCATCTCAGGGCTGCAGGGTGCAGATGGCCGGCCGCTGCAAATCCCCATTCCCCTGAGTGTCTTCGAGCCCAGCTGAGCCCCCTGGGCTTCGACACCCCTTTACCTGCCTTCGCTGTGCCCCGGGGTTCACTGCATCATCTACCATCTCTGGAACAGGGTCTCTGCCTCCCCAGGGCCCCGCACTGACAGTTAAAGAACCCTCTTCCCTTCCCGGTGAGTCCGCTGGTTTAGTAGTGGTCTCCCAGCAGGCGAGCTTGTTATCCACCCGACCCTTTATTCTGGACTCTGTCCCAACCCAGGGAATGAGGATCAATGTTCATACGACAAACACTCTCGGGTCCTTGCCGTGTGAGACTCTGGCCAGGCTCTGGGGGGTGGTGGGCGCCGACCGTTTGCCTGGGAGACACCTGTAGGTGGTGGCAATGTGGCCAGCACAAGCTCGCGGTCAGGGAAGGCCTCCCAAGGAGGGGCTGTTGGGGCAGACTCTCAGTCTGAGTAGAAGCCCCCCAGGCAGGTAGAAGCTGGGCAAGTGGATCAACGGAGTGAAAGAATCCTGACTCCAACTGGCTTCAGCCAAAAAAAGGATTCTTTGGGCTCATGAGGTAGAAACCCACCTCCATCCACCATTGAGCTTTTAAAAAATTTTATTTGGAGACAGGGTCCGAGAGGAGTCAGCCTCTCTCTTCCCCTGGTTGAATCCTTTCTCCAATCTCCTACTTCAGACCCCTCATGGCCTCCTCTTGCTCTTGGCCTCTCCATGGCCACCAAGGCTGCAGGACTGGCCCTCCCCTAGTGGTGGCCTCACCATCTCCAGGGCCACCCTCAGCTCCAAAACCAGCAGAAAGATTCCCTTTTCCTACAGCCCAACCAAGAAGCTGGAATCTCGACTCTTCAAAAGGGGGACCTGTGTGTGTATCTGGGAACCCCAGGCCTCGGGAGGACCTCCCAAGGGCAGACCCCCACGGAGAGGCCACTGTGAGCTCCCCAAGGCAGGGGCGCGGCACCAGGTGGAGGGGTAGGACACTGGGTGGGAGCCAGGACCCAGCAGGGTGGAGAGCATAGGCTGCCATGCCCACAGCCCCTCCTCTACCCCCTCCAGAAGAGTCTCAGGAACTGGACAGCAGCCTGCCATCCTGCCTGCCTGCTCTGCCCCGTGTGGGGCAACAGGGCCCACCCCACCCAGGGGAGCAGGCAGAGGTGGGGGCCAGCAAGGGAAGAAGTGCCGGCCTCTCCCAGCCGCTGAAGCCCTGCACCCACACACCCCTACCCTGCTCCAGGGATGAAGGCCTCACTCGGTAAACACGAGCTCATTAATAGCCTGATTAATCACACCTCATATTTTCATGGTGCTTTTAAAAATAAAACATTTGAAAGCATGTTCACACCCACCCTGGGCCTCCAAGTTCCTCCCCGGTTGCAGGTGAGGAAATGGGTGGGGGGTCTCAAAGAGCAGCATGGCCCAGGTGGCTGGGGGCATCCTGGAGTAAGGGCCTTCTCCCTGCTCAGAACTTTGCCTGTGGGAGGCTCTGCCCTGTCTCTGGGTCTCCCCACAGAATAAGAATGAAGGGGCCACCCTTGGGCAGATCTTCTGAATTCCTGGGGAGAAGAATCAGGGGTTGTTTAGTCACTCAACAAACACTCCACCACATGGGAATTCAGGGTCTAAGGAGGGACACAGCATGAAACCCCCCACACACTGTTGTGAATGTGGCATCCACCCTGGAGGGAGGTCCACCCAGGTGGAGCAGGTAGGGTGGGTCCACCACAGTCCAATCCACTAGCTGCCTGCAGCAGCTTCCCATCCATGTACCCGCTGCTGCCCCTCCCCCGCTGCCACTCCTCCCCCACTGCTCCTCACTCAGGGTCATCTCACTAGGTCCCTGCACATGGCCCCCAAAGCTTTCCTCCACCCATGCAATGAAGCCCCAACTCCTTGCTGGACCCTAAAGCCTGTCCCTCCAGCATCAGCCAGAAGAGGCATCCAGCTCTGTTCCTCTGTGACGCAGGAGCCTCCTCCTGCCCCTTCCCCTCGGCCTCCTCGCTGGCCCCAGGAAAGCCATCTGCTTCCTGTCTTGGGGA